TTTTTTGGTTGCAGCCGTCATTGTTGTTTGGCGGGTCCGGGCTGGGGATTCGAACCCGCCACCTTAGGTGTATGTGGCTGGCGCCTGAGCCAGTTGAGCTATAGGCGCTGAGCCTTATGTGTTTTTTTTAATTTCTAAAATTTCCTTAACCTGGGAAATACAATTATTCACTTTCAATCTCAGATCCTTTTTATGTGTCCTATCACTAAGTTTTAAATCAGTTTTTATAGTTACATATATTTCCACCATTTTTATTTTTCCCTTTTAACACTTGGTTTTACACAGTTCTTTTGCATAGTTTGTAAGCCCTGGATTGACCCCATCATTTCATTGGCCTCCCCTACCATGATACTTCAGTCTCCCAACTGTGTCTCTGGCTGTGCTCTCCTTTTCTTTGGGGGAAAAATGTTTCCCTCCTCAGTGCTAGAATAAGTGATTTATGTGATTTTCTTCAGGTTTTTATCAATGTTTAACTTGGGCATACTTCGAATTTGTTATAGTAAATGGTTAATTAGTCTTTTGGCTGTGGTCATGTTGTTAAAATATATATATTAAATCACTTCTCACATTTAATGCTGCTTCTGGGCCGCCACCATGTCCTGACACTAGCGTGACTCCAATTGTCAGGCTGTGTTCCAGTCTGGGGCTAGGCTAGGATAGTTTCCACTTTTGAACCCATATCTGAGAATTGTTGCTCTTCAGTGTGCTGTTAAAATCCAGTGGCATTAGGCTCAGTGCCCATAGCACAGTGATTAAGGCATCAGCTACACACACCAAGGATGGTGGGTTTGAAGCCAGCCTTGGCCAGCTAAACAACAATGACAACTACACAAAAGCTGGGCATTATAGTGGACGCCTGTAGTCCCAGCTACTCAGGAAGCTGAGGCAAGAGAATCACTTAAGCTAGTGGTTCTCAACCTGTGGGTCTCGACCCACAGGAACTGTATTAAAGGCTCGCGGCATTAGGAAGGTTGAGAACCACTGACTTAAACCCAAGAGTTGGAAGTTGCTGTGAACTGTGAAACCACAGCAGTCTACCAAGGGTGACATAGTGAAACTCTGTCTCCAAAAAAAAAAAAAAAAAAAAAAAAATCCAGTGGCATAAATAACTATTTGTTTATTTAAGAAAGAGTCTCATTCTGTCACCTTGGGTTGAGTGTCATGGCATCATCATAGCTCACAGCAACCTCAAATTCCTGGGCTCAAGTGATCTTCTTATCTCAACCTCCAAGTAGCTGGGACTACAGGCACCCACCACTATGCCTGGCTAGTTTTTCTATTTTTAGTAGAGAAGAGGTCTCACTTTGCTCAGGCTGGTATTGAACTCCTAAGCTCAGGCAATCCACTGGTGTTGGCCTCCCAGAGTGGTAGGCTTACAGGCATGAGCCACCACCCTGGCCAATTAATTCATTTATTAATCAGTCTGTTTATTCACAGCCTATCACTTTTGGTGTGCTAGGAACTAGACCAGGTTTCAAGTATGTGAAAATGAATAATGCCCTCCTACATTGCTGGAGTTCGTCATTTACAATGTTATTATCTGTGTGTGTGGTAAAATATGCATACCATGAAATTATAGTCTTTTTTTATCCCTTCTTGAGTGTACAATTTAGTGGCGTCAGGTACATTCGCATTATTGCGTGACCATCAACACTATTCATCCCCAGAACTTTCACCACCTTCCCAAACTGAAACTCTACCCCCATTAAGCACTAATTATCCTTCCTCCTCCCCTGATCCCCTGGCATGCACCGTCCTCCTGTCTCTGTGCATTTGGCTCCTTCTGGTGCCCCATTCAAGTCCCGGCCTTTCTCTTGTATTTATTTGTTTATTTTACTTTATTTTTTCGAGACAGGAGTCTCAAGCTATCGTCCTGGGTAGAGAGCCGTAGTGTCATATCTTACAGCAACCTCCAACTCAGGCTCAAGAGATCCTCTTGCCTCAGTTTTTCTATTTTTAGAAGAGATAGGGGGTCTCACTTTTTTGCTCAGGCTGGTCTCAAACCCGTGAGCTTGAGTGATCCTCCCTCCTTGGCTTCCCAGAGTGCTAGGATTATAGGCGTGAGCTACCGGGCCTGGCCTTGAGCTCCGTTTTTAACTTCCAGTCTGATCTGGTTGGTTTCCATCAGGTGTGTCGGGCACAGTTGTGCCCTGCAAGATGGCTGTATGCCCTTTTCTTTTGCTTTCTCCCTTGTGCCCACATTCCTGCCTGGCCTTTTGGTGCTGTGCCGTGTGGGGGCTGGCCAGGTCCCCAGTCTCACGCTTTCATAGGCTGTGATGCTCCAGGTGTTCTCAGACGTCCTCTCACAGCCTTATTCCTGGTTCCCAGCCACAGCCCTGGGGTAACGTACCCACGTCTTCATCTCCCCCTCCCCAAGGACAGTCCTCTTCAGCACCGTCCGCAAGCCCTGGGCTGACATCATTCCTTGCAACTATGAGATGAATCACACCCTCAAGGACCTGACGTCACTCAAGGCCTTTCTGCTATCGGGGACCACCGTGACCATCGTGGAGGAGAAGGTGGGCTGGCAGAGGCGGCTGACTCATTCCCCTGTCCTCCCTTTCCTGGATCCCTTGGGCCATCCCTAGCCCTGTTCCTGGCAGCCCACCTGTGCCTCTGCTCACTCAGGGCCACCTTCCTGTCCCTAGATTCTCTCCTGGCCTTTGGGGTTCTCTGCTGCTGACAGCCCTCTGCCTGCCAAGAAAGGGAAAGGAGAGAAAGACAAGAAGGAGAAAGACAAGAAGGAGAAAGACAAGAAGGAGAAAGACAAGAAGGAGAAAGACGGGAAAGACAAGGGAGGGAAAGTGAAAGAGGCCGCCAAGGTAAGGGGCATCCTTAGCCCATGAGGCACGCAGCCACCAGCCCTCGGCTTGGCTTGCCCCACATTTCTGGCCTCTTCCCCAAACAGAAGGGGCCCAAGAAGAAGAAAGAGCCTGCCAGGGACCTCCGCCAGGACCCACCCATCCTGCAGGTGCTGGGCAGCGGCTTGGTGGTTCTGGAGCCCTTGCTCTCAGGGGAGCCTATGGTGTCCACTGTGTGTAACTTTGGGGTGCTCCGGACCTTGGAAACCGACAGGCTGACGCTTGCCAGGGTATAGTGGGGCCCTCACCACAGCTCTCTGCCTCCGCCTTCACCCTCCACCCTCCTGGCAGAAACCTTGTTGGGCAAGGGAGCATAGCTCAGGTTGTGGGAGGAGGAAGGCTGGCGGGGCAGGGCCTTTCCCTGGATGGAACATGGAGGGGTCCCAGGCACGGTGGGCACTCTTCTTCTCAGGTGTGGAGTAGGGTGGGCATACTCCTCACTAGGGGATCCCTGCCTCCCTGGACCAACCAGAGGCCCTGGAGGGAGTGGGGTCCACCACAGCCACCCAACACCTCCCCACTCTAGTAAACAGCTCATTTTGTGGTTCTTTTCTCTCAGGATTCAAAGAAGGTTAAGAAAGTTGCAAAAAAAGGTAAGCACTGCAGGTAGTGACTGACTGAGGGTGGAGAGTGTCACTGAGGACCTGTCAGAACAGCCCTGATAGGGGAGCAGAGAGACAGAAGGATGGAGAATCCAGTCTTCTGGCCAGTAGAAGGGCTGCGTCCACCTGGAGCCCTCAGAGCATAGCAGCCTGCTGCAGGTCGTGATCCAGGTGGGAAGAGGCGCCCTGGGCAGGAGCTGCAATAGGAGAAGGGCTCAGGGCTGGGAGTGGCCCAGGGTCCTCCTGTTCAGGAGTGTCTGGATTCACCTTTTAGTCATTAGTCCTAATTTGCCATATAAGGAGCCCAGATAGTTCCTGGGCAGCAGGAAGCTGCTGAAGTGTCTGAAATAGGGATGTTTCAGATTTGAGTTTTAGAAAGTACTGCCCGGCTTAGAGGGAGAGACGGGAGACAGAGACCAGTTGGGAGCCTGTTGTAAAAGCATAAGGCAAGATCTCAGCAGAATTGTCCGAAGTTCTGACGTCCCAGATTGGAAAACAACCCAAATGTCAGCTGATGAGTGGGAAAACAGGTGGCATATCCATACAACGGGCTGTTACTCAGCTCTGAGACAGGATGAAATTCTGATGCATGCTACTGTGTAGAACAACCTTGAAAGCATTATGCTGAGTAAAAGAAGCCAGACACAAAGGCTGCACATGTGATTCCATTCATATGACAGGTCCAGAACAGGTCGGTTCTTGGAGACAGAGAAGGCTGGTGGTTACAGGCCTGACAGGGACAGGGTTGCCACTTGGGGTGATGAAAATATTCTGGAATAAGATGGTGACAGTTGTACAACCTTGTGACTATACTAAAAACCACTGAATTGTACATTTTAAAAGGACGAATTTTATGTTCAGAGATTTTTTAAAATCTCAGTGAAAAAAAAAACTTACCCTTAAAAATAAAACATGAGGCAAGAAGGAGCACTAAGGTAAAATTCATAAGGGACGTAGAAATGAGCAGGAGAGATGGAGTGACAGGTCTGGGTGTCACCTAGGACGCAGAACAGGCTGAGCCGGGAGACCACAGGGAAGAGGAAAGGTTCCCACCTTGGGCCCGTAACTTTGGGGACACAGGGTGAGAAGCTCTCTGGTGGAAGCCAGCTTGGCGTTGCCGTACATGGGGGTAAACCATGTCCCTTTCCCTCCCTGCCTGCTTTGAATCTGCCGCTCTTCATCTCCTTTGCCAGCACCCAAGTTATACCACCTAAGTCTTCTCCCAGACGATGGTAATTGCCTCCTTGTAGACCTCCGTCCTCCCCTGCAGCTGCTGTGGCCCCTTCCTGTCAGTCCCCAGATAGTTGCCAATCAGATTGAGTCACTCCTCTGCTTAAAATTCTTCCATGATTTCCTGCTGGCCACACTACAAAACCCATATTTTCATGAAGGCTCTAAGAGATCTACCTGGCAAGTGTATTGACACTGCTCCTGCCACATTATAAAATGTCTCATAATCTCCAGCACACACATTACAGATTCATAGCAGTATCAAACACTGAGTGAATGAAAGGATCCGCTTACAGGGGTTGTTTAAAGCCATGAAAATACATGAGCTTTGTTGAGCACAGTCCCCTGAGGAACACTACCAATTTTGATCAGGAATAAAAAACAAGATCTGAAAGGATCAAACTTAAGCCTAGAACAAAACTCAAGGATATGTATGTATAAGAATACAAAAAGAGGGCCGGGCAAGGTGACTCACGCCTGTAATCCCACCACTCTGGGAGGATGAGGCAGGTGGATCCCTTGAGGTCATAGGTTTGAGACTAGCCTAGTAAAAGCAAGACCCCATCCCTAAAAATAGCTGGGCATTGTGGTTGGCGCCTGTAGTCCCAGCTACTTGGGAGGCTGAGACAAGAGAATCACTTAAGCCCAAGAGTTTGAGGTTGCCATATGCTGTGATGCCAGAGCACTCTACTGAGGGTGACAAAGTAAGACTCTGTCTCAATAAATAAATAAAAATAAAACATAAACAAAAAGAATAGCCAGGCATGGTGGTAGTAGTCCCAGTTACTCAACCCAGAAGGCTGAGTTGGGAGGATTGTTTGAGCAATTTGAACTTTGGAGTTGGAGGCTGCAGTGAGCTATGATTTAGCCACCACCCTCCAGCCTGGGTGACAAAGGGAGACTCTGTCTCTTAAAAAACAAAAACAAAAAGAAGGCTCGGCTCCTATAGCTCAACCGGCTAAGGCGCCAGCCACGTACACCTAAGGTGGCGGGTTCGGATCCCCAGCCCGGACCCGCCAAACAACAATGACGGCTGCAACCAAAAAATAGCCGGGCGTTGTGGCGGGCGCCTGTGGTCCCAGCTACTTGGGAGGCGGAGGCAGGAGACTCGCTTGAGCCCAGGAGTTGGAGGTTGCTGTGAGCTGTAATGCCACGGCACTCTACCCAGGGGGAAAGCTTGAGGCTCTGTCTCAAAAAAAAAAAAAACAAAAAAAAAACAAACAAACCCCCAATTGTGCAAAATTAAGCTCAGAAAAAAAAAATGAGGAAAAAAACCCCCAGAGCATCAGTGAATTTTGAGACAAATTTAAAGGCATAATATCTATATAATTGGAGTCCCAAGGAGAGTGTATAGAAAAAAAACCTGAAGAAGCAATTGCTGAAACATTTTCAAATTTGATGAAATTTTTTCATGAACCTCAAACACAAGAAACATGAAGACAACTAACCAAGGTAGTTAATATTCAGGTTGAAACACACACACACACACACACACACACACACACTGTGTACAGAAGGACAAAGGATGACAGAATTGTCATCAGAAACAATACAAACTAGAGAAAATAGTGGTGTGGCATCTCCAAATGCTCAAGGAAAAATACCTATCAACATAAAATTCTTTCCCAAAAATATTTTTCAAAACTAAAAGTGAAATGAAAACTTTTCCTGATATACAAAAGCTGGAAAAAACGCACCATCTATACTACAAGAAATGTTAAGTGAAATTCTTTGAGCAGAAGAAAAATACCAGATGGAAATCTGGATCTCCACAAAGATGAGACATGCACTGGAAATGGTAATTAAGTGGGTAAAGATATTTCTTCTTATTACTTGTATTTCTCTAAATTGTAGTTGATTGTTTAATGAAAAAATAATATACTGGCTGAGTGCAGTGGCTCACACCTATAATCCTAGCATTCTGGGAGGCTGAGGCCAGTGGATCCCTTGAGCTCAGGAGTTCAAGACCAGCCTGAGCAAGAATGAGACCCTGTCTCTACTAAAATAGAAAAACTAGTGTTATAGGTGTTAACAGCAGGCGCCTGTAGTCCCAGCTACTTGGGAGGCAGAAGGATGGCTTGAGCCCAGGAGTTGGAGGTTGCTATGAACTAGGCTGAAGCCACTGTAGTCTAGCTCAGGTAATACAGTGAGACTCTGTCTCTAAAAACATAAAAAAAGAGATCAGCATATTCTAAAATTCATTTGAAAAGGACCTAAAATAGCCAAAAATCTTTGAAAAAGAACAAAGTTGAAGGATTTACACTATCGGACTTTAAGACTCATGAGGATATGGACACATGATTTGTAACACTTGTCTATATGGGGATAAGATGGTCTTTAAAAATTTTAGGTTTCTTTTTACATTTTTGTAAATCCCTTTAATGTGTGGCTTAATTGAAGATACCTGGATTCTTATGGTTACTTCTGCAATCAGTTGCTTGGGATCTGTTGCTACAATTAAAGTGTATGAAGAAAATCCAACTTTGCACAAACATGTAATGAGGGGAATATTTAATAAGCTTTCAAATAATCCAGGATTTTTTTTTTTTTAGCAGGCACCGGCTGGGTTCGATCCCACCAGCCCCGGTGCATGTAGCAGTGCCCTACCCACTGAGCTACAGGCACTGCCTATTCTTTTTTTTTTTTTTTTTTTGAGACAGTCTCTTCTCTTGGTCACCCTTGGTGGAGTGCCATGGCATCTTAGCTCACAGCAACCTCAACCTCTTGGGTTCAAGCAATTCTTTTGCTTCAGCCTCCCAGGTAGCTGGGACTACAGGCACCCACCACAGCGCCTGGCTATTTTTCTTTGCTTAAAGACAGGGTCTCACTCTTGCTCAGGTTGGTCTCCAACTCCTGAGCTCAGGCAATCCAACTGCTTTAGCCTCCCAAGTGCTGGGATTACAGGCATGAGCCACCATGCCCGGCAATCTGGAATATTCTTCTTTAATCTTATGCCAAATTTCACAAGCAGTAGTTTCTTAAAGGTTGTTACAATGTGAAAACTGAATCTATATTGAATTTTCCATAAATTAGATTAGAATCTGTTGATCTACTTTGCATTTGAATGTATATTTTACCATGCATGAATTATAACATGCACTGGATATTTGTAAAATGCAGGAGTTATGCAGATCTTCCAGCTGTTGACACATTTCATTACACATCATCCAAAAATCACACTCTCTAATTAATCGCCACCCATGTCATTGAATTGGAAAACCGGTAAATTCATGGTGGCAGATGCAATGTTTCAAAATTATAAATTCTAGCTGAAAGTTAAAAACTATAAACTTATTTATCAAATGCTTCCAGTTTTTCCCCTGATATGTCAGAATTATTTCATTTTTAAGAAAATAGCTGCCAAATATCCAAGTCTGACCATCCACCATTTGTCAGTGTTCTTCTCAGTAAAAATGGTGTTTGCAGAAAAAACTCCAGCTAGTTTTGCAACACTAACAGGTGCGACTTAGTAAATGCAATTTAATGTTCAGCATTAAAGGACGGAAACTTGGGCTTGTGGTTTGGGTCGGGTAATGGACACTTCCAGAGCGGCCAAGAAGCGCCAGCGCACTGGTCTTTGCGAACTCATACGCTCCTGTTTCTGTTTTCTTTAGAAAAGAAAAAATCTTTGACTCAGATGTTGGACAGCGAGTACCGCCCGGAGCCCTTGACGGTGGACGTCCAGATCCAGCTGATCCAGTTCCGCTCCGTCGAGGAGGCGCTGACTGCTGCGTCCCCTCTGTAGGGTGGCGGGCAGTAAAGGCTGCGCTGAGCACCCGTGTCTTGTCTGTCCGCGCGCGCGTCCGGGAGCCAGTGTGGTGCGGGACGCCCCTCGGGCCTCAGAGGACTTCCGGGAAGGAGCGGCCTCTGCCCGACCAGGATCGTGCGACGACCCAGGAAGGAGCGCGGGCCACGTGCCACCGGGGAGGCCCGCGGGGAGCCTGCCAGCAGGACCCTCCGCTCCTCCCCCCTCCAAAAGCTCCGCCCCTCGCGCCGGGGAGGGAGGCCGGGCCCCGCCCACCGCCCGAGCTAGGCTATCTCAGGCCCCTGGGCAGCCGCCGCGGCACCGCAGCACACCTGCTCACCAGTGCCTTGCCCCGGCGTCGCGCCCAGGTAGGTCCAGAGGACCTGGTCGGCTGGCCTGGGCAACTGGCCCCCGGCCCTCTGAGCGGCCGTGTCATCCGTGAGGGGAGGGGCGGTCGCCAGGGCTGCCTATGTTTCTGCACCCCGAGCTTCGCCACCGACCCCTGGAGAGTGCGGCGCCAAGGTTTGGTCTAGGCAGGGTGGTCGCGGCGCTCTCTGGCGGGCACAGCGTGGGGTCCGCGGGACGCTTAGCTGTCGTTCGCCAGCTGGGGGCAGAATGGCCGGAGGCGAGCGAGATGCACCTGGCCAGTCTGGGCGGGTGGCCCTCGCGGGTTCGGCCCTTGCTTCGGCGCCCGCGATCCCTTTCGTCCCCCTCTGGAAAGTCAGGCGTAAAGATGAACCAGACCTTGGCCCTTTCTCACCTGTAGAGTGTCGGGTCGCCGAGTCCTGCGAGGACCTGAGTCTGACTATCACCCAAAGAGCAGGCGCAGCCCTGCAGGAGTTGTGCGCAGGTGGAGCCAGTGGCGGCCTCGAAGGCGCGCTCAAGGCCCTGGAGGAGGCTCAGGGTCCAGGGACGGTGGCGGCGGGAGAATCTGGCGCTCCCCTCAGGAAACTGTACAGCCACGGGCCCACGGATCCCGAACTCCTGGGACCCATGACGCCTGGACGCCGCAGCCCTGGATACCGGCATCCCGAGCAAGAAAGTGGTTTTCTAGCAGGGAGACACTCCCACGGCCCTTTATTTCAGCAGCAGCCGCGAGCTTTTTTTTTTTTTTTAATTGTGAATTATTTCACTGTCTCTGCCAAAGCCCGGTGGGTGCGCCTGGCGCTGGGGAGAAATCCTAGCTCTTTCCCGAGCTCCCGCCTCTCCCGCGCCCTGCTGCCCCATCCTCTGTTCCCTTCCTCCCTCCCCTTCCCCTCTGGGCCCTCCACGCTTGGCTCCCCAGATCACAGTATGTCCTCATCCGCATTCAGTTCTTGCTCACATGTCCCTCTATCAAGGAGGGTGTTCTTAAACAGCTTAGGCCACCTGGACCTCCTCATCACTTCATTCCGTTACCTGCCCTAATTTCTCGGCATATCTGGCTCATGAGTATGGAGGGCAGTGACCTTGTCTGTCTTGTTTGCCACTACATCCGTGTCACTTGGCAGAATTGCTTTTCTGGTGGCAGCGGTAGGGACAACAGGGATGAGGCTACTGTAGGTAGACTGTTTAACAGTGAAGGAGAAGCAGATGGACACTGAAGGGACAAAAACAGCAACTGAGACATTGAATCCTGGCTTTGCCACTGTGAACCTCAGGCAGGTTACTCTGGTGGATTCTGTTTCCTTGTCCTTTTCTTTGGATTACTGAGGGACCTAGTGGGAGAAGTCAGCACTCTGTACATGGTGGGAAGAGGAGGGCGCAGGGCATTCCTGGAGGGCATCCCTGGTACAAGTCACCAGACTTCCTGCTACTGTCCTGTGTGTGTGCTTTTACCCAAACACCAGTTAACTGACTCCCTCCGGAAACCCCCACCGCTGGAGGCAGGTGTGAAGGGAATGTTCCCTGGTGGCCATGTTCCTGTCCTATCTCTGGAAGAAGTGCACCCCCTAAGCACAGTGCCTGTGTGAGGTCATCTCAGAGATGCCCAACACGGCCTGCCACAGCTGCACCAGAGTGTTTTTTTTTTCTTAAATGATTTAACTTCAGACTTCAAGAGCCCTGAACGTCAGGTTTCACACTTAGAATGAATTTCATCCAAAGCTAAACTAAGTCTGTGCCATTTTCACTATTGTCACTAAAACTCATCAAGTATTTGAATTGCCTGGAAAGGCTAGGAATATTTATGGTGTCTCAGTTTTAAATTGGCTGCAAGTCCTTTGGGAAAAATGTTGACCTAAGAGCCCACAGCTGATGACAGAGGAAGGCAGGACTGGCTCAGCAGGTGTGCTTAGTGCATCCTCCCAGGCTGGGATTGTGGAAAGAGCCAGAGGAAATGCTGAGAATAAAAGGTGTCCCCAGCAGCTACATGGAATGGGGTGAGATGTTAACAAGAGTGCCAGTGCCCAAAGGTCACCATGGACTTAGCTGCAGGGTTGCAGGTAACTCTCACTCAGCTTTTGGGGACAGGGCCCCTGGCAAAGTAGGGGGCAGGCCAGGGCCCTGCTCAGGCCACTGTTTCCTTACAGGGACTTGCAATGCTGCGCAGGCTGGCCTGGCTGCTCCTGTACAGCCTCTCGGTGCTGCTGCTTAGTAGCCTACTCTTCCTGCGGAAGGAGGCCAAGCCAGCGGGGGACACCACAGCCCGCCAGCCCTTCTGGGCTCCTCCAGGGCCCCGCCAGAGCCAGTGTCCACCTAACCGTACAGTGGCTAATGCCTCCCTGTCTCTGCCTAGCCGTCACCGCCTCTTCTTGACCTATCGCCACTGCCGAAACTTCTCCATCTTGCTGGAGCCTTCCAGCTGCTCCAAGGACACCTTCCTGCTCCTGGCCATCAAATCACAGCCTGGTCATGTGGAGCGACGAGCCGCTATCCGCAGCACATGGGGCCGGGAAGGGGGCTGGGCCAAAGGCCGGCAGCTGAAGCTGATGTTCCTACTAGGGGTGGCCAGAGCCACCCACCCTGCCCAGCTGCTGGCCTATGAGAGTGCGGAGTTTGATGACATCCTACAGTGGGACTTTGCTGAGGATTTCTTCAACCTGACACTCAAGGAGCTGCACCTGCAGCGCTGGGTAGCAGCTGCCTGCCCCCAGGCCCACTTCATGCTAAAGGGAGATGATGACGTCTTTGTCCATGTCCCCAATGTGCTCGAGTTCCTGGATGGCCAGGACCCAGCCCAGGACCTCCTGGTAGGAGATGTCATCCGGCAGGCCCTGCCCAACAGGAACACCAAAGTCAAATACTTCATCCCACTCTCCATGTACAGAGCCCACCACTACCCACCCTATGCTGGGGGTGGAGGGTATGTTATGTCCAGAGCTACTGTGCAACGCCTTCAAGCAGCCGTGGAAGAGGCAGAACTCTTCCCCATTGATGACGTCTTTGTGGGTATGTGCCTAAGGAAGCTGGGGGTGAGCCCCACACACCATGCTGGCTTCAAGACATTTGGAATACGACAACCCCTGGATCCCCTGGACCCCTGCCTATACCGGGGGCTTCTGCTGGTGCACCGCCTCAGCCCCCTGGAGATGTGGACCATGTGGGCACTGGTGACAGATGAGGGGCTCAAGTGTGCAGCTGTCCCTAGACCCCAACTCTGAGGGGTAGGTTGAGCAACAGCCCGTGAGGACTTGTGTTAATTTATCATGATGAGAAATTGGTCCTTGTGGGTCTGCAGGAAATGTTACCTTTGTTTTTGTAAAACACCTCTCACCCCCATTAGCTCTGATTAAAGACACTGCCCTAGCTGACTTGTCCTGTGTTGAATGGATGACAAACTGCAGCAAATGCTGCCAGAAATCTATGGGGCTGGCTAGGTTCTGGAGGAGGGAGGCTACACAGGGCCCCAGAAGACACACATTTTCTTTTTTGAAATGCAAAAAAAATTTATTCTTTTCCTTTAGATACAACAGAGAAACTCAAAGGCAAAAAGGAAATAAGAGGCAAGTGTTAGAACAGTCCTGTTGAGAGCACCAGGTAAACACCTGCATTTATTCCCTTAATGATAGCAGACCTTTGACTCATCGGCCTAAGCTATCCTTACAGGGCAGTGGGGCCAGACCAGAGAAGGCATCAGAAACACACAAATCTTACTAACCAGACAGGCTCCCCTTCCCCCCAAAACTCACACCCCTACAGAAGGAGTAAATCTTACATTATATTTGAATATGTGAATAAGATTGAAAACTGAGGCTAAACAGCTACTGAACTGAAAGGCATGACAAAAATGACACCTCTCTGGCCCAGGTTGGCCAATACTTTGGGTGAGGTAAAAGGATCAGGGGGTGAGAGGACAGCTACATGGAATGGGGTGAGATGTTAACAAGGGTGCCAGTGCCCAAGGGCTAAGAACCAGGTCCAGTACAAGCCTGAGACCCCTAGGAGGGAGGGGCCAGGCACTCACAGCTCACAAAGGCCTCTGGCCTGATTGGCCAGGGCAGAACCTGCCCCCTCTTCCCTGTGCAGAAAGTCATGCCAACCCTGGGCAGGATAGCATCCACCCCTGCCCTCCTCACTGAGATAGCAGACAGGACAGTGGGCTTAGGCCCTTAATCCTCTCGCAGGTAGGCCTCCTGCTCCGGCTCAGCCCTCTCTACCCCTTCCTCTTGTGTTTTCTGACGGAGCTCTTCTGTCTGTGCTTCTGCCAGCTTGGTTTCTGCTTTCTGGGAGAGCTGGCGCACCTCCTGCACCTGCAGTTTCACCAGCTGAATGTGATTCCTGGCGGTTACACAGGCCTGATCTGCTCCTGCCAAAAGATGAGACAATTGAGCTGAGCAGACAAATAGGATAGGAGGGGCACACATGGACACAGGAAAGGCTGAGGGCACTGTGGTTGTCATCTGAGCCCCTCCTGGGGTCAAGTTCCCTGGAGCAAAGAATCTTTCTCTTCCAAGTCCAGGCCTGCATTTAACTAACCAACACTTTATTGTCAAAACCCCAGTATTTTTCTTTAGCTCTCAGTAGCTAACATGATTACTAAATGCAACTCCACAATCACCTTTATAGCTATATAGCTCTTAGTACAGACCTTTTATGAATTTAAATTTTTAACTACATAAGTCATAGATTCTTTTTTTTTTTTTGCAGTTTTTGGCCAGGGCTGGGTTTGAACCCACTACCTCTGGCATATGGGGCCTCTTGAGTCCTACCCTACCCCTTTGAGCCACAGGTGCCGCCCCATAGATTCTTTTTGACAAATTAAGAAATCACTAAAAAGGGCTGGACATGGTGGCTCATGCCTGTAATCCTAGCACTCTGGGAGGCTCAGGTGGGTGGATTGCCTGAGCTCACAGGTTCTAGACCAGCTTGAGCCAGAGGGAGACCTAGCCAGGCATTGTGGCAGGTGCCAGTAGTCTAATTCAGGGGCCCTCAAACTTTTTAAACAGGGGGCCAGTTCACTGTCCCTCAGACCGCTGGAGGGCCGGACTGTGGGCCCCGGGACAAGTCGGCTACTAAGCAGGACAGGCAGCGGTGGCAAAAACACCCGGCAGGGCGGATAAATGTCCTAGGCAAGGCCACATGTGGCCTGCGGACCGTAGTTTGAGGACGCCTGTAAGCTGAGGCAAAAGAATTGCTTTAGCCCAAGAGTTTGAGGTTGCTGTGAACTATGATGCCATGACACTCCACCGAGGGACACAAAGTGAGACTCTGTCTAAAAAAAAAAAAAAAAAAAAAAGTTTTGAGCTCTACCACTTTACCTGTTGCTAGTGTATTTCATCGTATGGATATGTATATTTTATCAATTTGTCCCTAGAACTTTTTTTTTTTTGGAGTTTTTGGCCAGGGCTGGGTTTGAACCCACCACCTCTGGCATATGGGGCCGGCGCCCTACCCCTTTGAGCCACAGGCACCGCCCATTT